CATCCCGACACGATGCACTTGGTGTCCGTGGGGATGTCGCTGTTGGTCTTGGGCAGGGGGATCACCTGGACGTATTTATTCAGTTTGGCTTTGTGGCTCAGCTGTTATGGGAGGGGAGCAAACGTTAGGCCCTGCAGGAGATGAAGAGGAAGGTTTTGGGGTTTTGTTTTGCCAGGTGCTTGCTCATCAGGAATCTGTTTGGGGGCAGGGTGTAGAAATGGGGGTGATACCAGGTTTGAGGTTAAACTTCAACGCTAGACACGTCCTGACCATCACCTTCTGACGTTGGAACACCCACATCCTTGGGTTGTGTGATGCCAGCCCAGTGATGGAGCCTGGGCCGTGGCGCTTTCCTTGGCCGGCTACTTCCCTAGATGGCCCGTGCTTGTCCACTGGGAACGGGCTCTCCTGGGATTGCCTCATGGCGTGATGATGTCACTCCTGTGCGGCCACAACAGGTCAATCGGCGTTTGAGTCTGCAGAGCCCAAACCCGTAACCCGCGGTGAGTGTGTCCGGTGGTCACCTCTGTGCCAATCCACAGAGGGTGTGAGTAATGCTGCCCTCACTACAGAACTGTCGCTCCGGATGCAGCAGCCCACGAGGTTTGCGCTGGAGAATCCTGGTTCAGTCCCTGCTGTGGTAGTTGAGAAGATGGCTGTCACATGAGGACAAAGCCCAGAGAGGTGGATCTAAATACCAGAGGCATTCTACAGCATATATAACCTACAAACCCTAAGAGTATGTCTACACTGCAATAAAACACTCATGGCACTCAGGGCCTGGGTCAGCCGGCTCAGGTGCAGGGCTAAAAACTGTAGCGTAGAGGTTCCTGCATGGGCTGGCTCCCAGACTCGGAGACCTTTCCCCCTCGTGGGGTTTCGACGTCCGAGCCTGAACATTGACACTGCGACTTTTAGCCCTGCAGCCCGCGTCAGCTGACTCGGCCCAGCCGCGGCCATGCCACGGGTCTCTTACTGCAGTGTAGATGTAGCGTTAGACAGCGGCCGGTGCATGGATTCACTCTCCAGTGGGGAGTCCTGTTACCTTTAGGAGAAGGATGTCGTTGTATGGCACATATCTGCTGTCGTATTCTGGGTGCGGACGGTAGCTTTCAACCTCAAACATCTGCTGGGAGGCCTCCGGGATGCGGTAATTGTGAGCTCCCAGGATGACGCTGATGTCCCTTCAAATGACAGTAAATATCACACATCAGGTCCATTCAAGTCAGCGTCTCTGCCTTGGAGAGGAGGGGAGGGGCCATATTTCACATTCAAACAGCAGCTTGCATTCAAAGCTCCTTTCGTGTAGGCAGCGTGGGCTAGTGGGCAGGGCAGCGTGCTGTGACGCAGAAGAGGGTGCGTTAATTCCTGGCCACTGATCTGCTGTATAATCTTGGGCCAATCACTTCCCCTCCCGTCCTTCCTCTGGTTAGACTTCAAGCTCTCCAGGGGGCAGAGGCCCCTCTCATTATGTGTTTGTACAGCCGCTGGCACAGCTGGGCCCCGGTCTCCATTTGGGCCTCTAGCGTCCAGGAGGAAATGGGGTCAGTTGTCAGGAGGCATGGCCCAGGAGGGAGTGGGTTTGGCAGCTGGAGGGATGCCCTGACTGGGAATAGGGACGTTTTGAGAGAGGATCTGGGGTACTCGCTGTGGGACTGGCTGAGAATCTGAACAGGAGGGGATGGTGTCATGGGAGCAGGGAGTGCCGGGCGGCTCCCTGCCGGGGTGTCGGTTATTGGTCCCAGCCTTGGCTCTCGCGGGGGAGGTGCAGAGCTGGGGGCTCAGCGGGGGGAGGGATGTTCCAGGAGTTTGCTCTAAGAACGTCTTTGTGGTCTCTTGCGACGCCTGACCCTGTGAGGTGCTGAGCTCCCTCCCACGGGAGGAACTCAGCACCTGCAGGATGAGACCGTAACGTGCCTCCCCATCACCTGCCCCTGGTGCGATCACTTACTCCTGTGCAAAGACGGCGTAAAGCGCTCCCAGGGCAGAATGGCAGTGACGTGCATTCTGCGCCCGCTTTGCCCCTGGCTGCAGGGCCGTGGAGAATCAGGACCTAGCAACAGTTTAATTCAATTGATTTAGTGAAACCAGCGCAGACCTCTGGGTGGACACTCCAGTCTCTGATTTCAGCCAAACATAAACCTGCTCCTAATTCACTTAACCAGCCTGACTTCAGTTGAGTTTAAAGTGAAAGCAGCGTCTCCCCACAGCCTTTCCAACCAGTGTAGCCTAGTGGCTAGGACACTGGACTGGGGCTCAGGGCACCTCGGTTCTAGTTCCAGCTCTACCACTGGCCTATTGGGCGAGTCACGTCACCGCCCGGTGCCTCAGTTTCCCCATCTGTAAACTGAGGATAATGACATTAACTTCCCTTGTTGAGATTCACCTGTACAAAGTGCTATGTAAGAGCTAGGGATTATTATAATGAAATCGACTTAAAACCACCCCTTAAGTTAAAGAGATGGAATTGTCTGGCCAGCCCAGCGCTGAGTCTGCTGGACCCTTTCAGAGTGAGTTAGGCTCTTTAATGAATTTCCCAACACTCTGACATTTGTCTTCCAACCTGAATCCGTCCGTGCGTTTGTGGGGAAGGGCCGGGGCTAACTCCATGCAGTGAGCAGCGGTCATCATCCAGTCTAGGGCCACCAGAAACCCCCCGCAGTGGAAACGACCGGAAACTTTCAGGGCTGCCATGTAGGGTCTGGAGTGGGGCTTGGCTTCAGGCCCCCCCACAATCTGACTCTGCAAAGCACCCGAAAGACACGCACACTCCTGAGCAGGAAGAGATGGGACTGCTCCTTCCTCACGTGGTGCACGGACCCTGGATGGTAACCCTAGCCCACGACTTCCTCTACTCACCAGCATGGGCTGAGGGGTAGGACAGCAGGGACAACAGAAGGCACTGGAGCCGCTCCGTCTCTGAGTTCCTCGGTCCTCGTCCAGGCTCGGCGCCAACCTGAGCCTCCTGCTGCCCCGTGGCTGATTTTATACCCTCAGCCCAATGAAACTCAGAAGCCAGAAAACCAGCTGAGCTGGGCTGGTCTAAACAATCCGCCCAGATCTGCATCTCCCCTCACCTCCTGCCTAACCGCTGACCAGCACGTGCTGCCATCTTGTGCAAACTCCCCGTTTCCCGTTCTCATCCTTCCCTCCCGCAGGTGCGTGCCTTGCTGCGTTGAGACCTACACAGTCATTTCTTGACCCCTACTGATATCTCAAGAGATAAATGACTAATGCACATCCAACCAGTGCTGCTTGGGCTGTTAGGGGGATTAGAACCGGGGACTTTCTGCATGTAAAGCAGGCGCCACAACCACTTGAACTAAAGGGTAAGTTGCCTTTGTTGTCAGCCGCATCAGACTCATATACGGAGTCTGGCTGAAGACCCATCCTGTGAGAGAAAGGGCTACACACACAGGGCAATACAAAGGCCTTTCCAAAGCTTGGTACCAGTGGGATTTTTCTATGAAACATAGAATCATAGAATCTCAGGGTTGGAAGGGACCTCAGGAGGTCATCTAGTCCCACCCCCTGCTCAAAGCAGGACCAATCTCCAACTAAATCATCCCAGCCAGGGCTTTGTCAAGCGCCTGACCTTAAAAACCTCTAAGGAAGGAGATTCCACCACCTCCCTGGGTAACCCATTCCAGTGCTTCACCACCCTCCTAGGGAAAAAGTTTTTCCTAATATCCAACCTAGACCTCCCCCACTGCAACTTGAGACCATTGCTCCTTGTTCTGTCATCTGGTACCACGGAGAACATGCCCTGACTGGAAGGAGGATGGACAGGTCCCAAGGGAGAATGCAGTCAAAGACTCAGATTGCAGGTGAATCTTGACCCAGGGTTCATGTGACTTACGTCTCCACACACCCATTTTTGCGTGAGAGCCTGAATGAGTCTGATACTCACCCCCGGCTCTTGTGAGGAGAGGCCCAGTTATCGCGGCATCGGAAGCAGATTGTGAGATTGGCTTGAGGGGAAAGGACAAGAACTGAAACAGAGTGATAAGGAGGAGCCCTGAGATAACACTCAGGATGTATTTGCAGAGATAGGGACTCAGCATCACCGAGTGATGAGGACGAAAATGCTGCTCCCACCCAGGCCGATGCAACAGGAGATGCTGACAGCTGCTTGTGACCGTTACCCGTCACTGCCTGTGTCAAGTCCATATGACTCGCCGTTGGGCCGGTGGATTTATTGCTTCTCAGAAGAGCAGCGTTTCTCCATCACATGAAGCCAAACATGAGCTGTGCTGCCAATCGAAGTGGTGTGGGTCGCTGTGCGAATCCAGGTGGGCGCTCAGGCTGGGATTCTCAAAGGAGACTGACTAGAGGCCCCAATTCCTGTTGAATTTCAGTGGGGCCTGGACCCCTTATTCCCTTTTGCCCCCTTGAAAATCCCAGCCACATTCCATAAATGACCTGGCTCACTGGGAAGCAGATGGTGCTGCTGGTGACGCACGGGTAAGTCTGGTTTACATGGGGTGACTGACAGCAGAATCTGGCCCTGAGCGTGGATCAGACACAATTCTTAGCAGACACAAAACGGCACCAGGAAAAAGAGAAGCCAGGCTAACTCTGTTTTTTCAAAAGCAGACCCCAAAGGCCTTTCGGTTGTCCCATCGCCAAGGGACTATGGTTATCATTTGTATTGGTATTACAATAATGCCTTAAGGCCCTGGCCCTATTGTGCTTGGTGCTGTACATACACATAGCAAGAGGCTGTCCCTGCCCCAGAGAGCTTACCGTCAAAGCAGACAAAGGGTGGGAGGGGAAACTGAGGCACGGAGAGGGGGCGATGACATGCCCAAGGTCACCCAGCAGGTCAGAGATGGGAATAGAATGCTGGTCTCCTGACTCGTAGCCCATTGTCCTCACTACTAGGCCACACGGCTTCCCAGGCGCAGGCCCAACGACAGCAATTCCGGGCCCCGGGCCAGAATAGTCAATGGGCCCCCGCGCACGCCTGCGCGGACACGGGCCACCTGACAGAGGCGGTGATGCGCCTGCGCTGGCTGGTGCCTAGTGAGCTGCCGGCTGTGCTGCTGGTGCCCTCCCCTTCTCCGAGGTCCCGGCCCCTGCTCACTCCATTCCCCCACCCCCGTCGCTCGCTGTCCCTCACCCCCACTCACTTTCATCAGGCTGGGGCAGGGGGTTGGGGGGCAGGGGGCAGGCTCTGGGAGGAAGTTTGGGTGTGGGTGGGGTGGGGGGTCAGGCTCTGGGAGGGAGTTTGGGTGCAGGAGGAGGTGAGGGGTCGGGCTCTGGGAGGAAGTTTGGGTGGGGGAGGGGAGGAGGGGTGCAGGCTCTGGGAGGGAGTTTGGGTGCAGGAGGAGGTGAGGGGTCGGGCTCTGGGAGGAAGTTTGGGTGGGGGAAGGGAGGAGGGGTGCAGGCTCTGGGAGGGTGTTTGGGTGTGGGAGGGGGTAAGGGATCGGGCTCTGGGAGGGAGTTTGGGTGGGGGAGGGAGAGGGGTGCAGGCTCTGGGAGGGCGTTTGGGTGCAGGAAGGGGTGTGGGCTCTAGGCTGGGGCAGGGAGTTGGGGTGAAGGAGGGGATCTGGGCGTCGGCGCTTACCTCGGACAGCTCCCGAAAGCGACCAGCAAACCCCTCTGGCAGCGGCTCCTAGGTGGGGGATCCTGGGGGGTCTCCAGGCGCCGCTGCCCACAGGCACTGCCCCCGCAGCTCCCATTGGCCGCAGTTCCCGGCCAATGGGAACTGCAGAGTCGGCACTTGGGGCAGGGGCAGCGCACAGAGACCCCCGTCCGCCCCAGGGGCTGCAGGGACGAATCAGCTGCTTCCAGGAGTGGCGCAGAGCGAGGGTGAGCAGGAAACCGGCTTTAGCCCCGCTGTGCTGGTGGCGGCTGGGGGCCTCTGGGCCCTTTTAAATCACCTGGGCAAGTCCCCCCTTTGCCCTCCCTGTCAGCGGGCCTGCCCAGGGGCCCCATTCAGACAAACCATCATAATTGGAACGAATTTGTCAGCCACCTCACACGGGGACAAAGACTGTATGTTCAGAGGCCAGGCCTGGCGCCCGCTGACATGGGAAAGCTTGCCCTGCCACGGTGGGTAGATGGAGGGCTCCGTTCTCCAGGATAGGCAGATGCCACAGTGATGAGCGACTTTCTAAAGACCCAGCCAGACAGTGGAATATGTATGCTGATGATGGACAGATAGTTAGATTTGTATGTTCACAGATCCATAGATTTTTATTTTTTTTCCAGATCAGAAGGGAGCATCCAGTCTGATCTCCAGCACAACCCAGGCCGTAGGACTTCCCTGAATTAACTAGTGTTTCAAGTGCAACAGATGGGTGAGGGGATGAACTAGGCCAGATCGTTCAGAAAAACATCCAACCATGATTTTAAAATGTCCAGTGATGGAGAATCCATCACAGCCCTTGGTAAGTTCCTCCAAAGGTTAATTACCCATGCTAGTAAAAACTGGCACCTTATTTCTAGCCTGAATTTTTCTAGCTTCCGTTTCTAGCCACTGGATCTTATTAAACCTTTGCAGGCTAGACTGAAGAGCCCACTATTATGAAATTTCTGGTCCACATGTAGGTATTTATAGACGGCTCAAGTCATCCCTTAAACGTCTCTTTGATAACTAAATAGATTGATCTCCCTGCGACAAGGCCTGGCTTCCAGTTCTTGACTCATTCTCCTGGATCTTTGCAGAACCACCTTCAGTTGATCAACATCCGTCTTGAATTCTGGACACTGGAACTGGACATAGTGTTCCAGCAGCAATCACACCAGTGCCAAATACTAAGGTAATAACCTCTCTACAAATACGTGATATTCCCTTGTTTATGCATTAGCCCTTTTGGCCACTGGATCGCACTGGGTGTTCATGTTCAGCTGAGTAGCTACCGTGACTCCCACCTCTTTTCAAGTTGCTGCTTCCCAGGACAGAGTCCCCCATCCTGTAAGCGTGGGTGATGGTCTTTGTTCCTAAGTGTATGATCTTATCTTTGGCCATATCAAAACATGCGTTGTTTGCCTGCGCTCCGGCTTACGGAGCGATTCAGATTGTCTGTGTCGGTGATTTCTTCTTCATGATTTCCCACTCCCCCAATCTCTGCAACACCGATGAACTTGATCAGTAACGATTGTATGTTTTCTGCCAGGTCATTGACAAAAATTTTAAATAGCAGAGGGCCAAGAACAGTTCCCTGTGGGAACCCACTAGAAATCGACCCGTTCCACGACGATTCCCCGTTTTGGGATCTGTCAGGAACCAGACTGTAATCAGGGCCGGCTCTCCTGTTTTTGCTGCCCCAAGCAGGGTGGGCGCCGACGGTGGGGGCAGTCCGTGTGCCGTTAGGCCGGCACGCGCGTTTCTGTGGTGGTGGCAATTCGGCGGCAGCTTCTATCTTCAGCCGGAAGACAGAAGCCACCGAATTACCGCCCCGGGCAGCTGAACATAGAAGCTGCCGAGGAATTGCCGCCCCCGCGGAAATGCGCGTGCCGCCCTAATGGCACACGGACTGCCCCCGCCGTCCGCGTTGGCAATTCAGCGCGCTGCTTGGGGCGGCAAAAACACACGGACAGCCGCCCCTTGCCGATTGCCGCCCCAAGCACCTGCTTGGAATGCTGGTGCCTGGAGCCGGCCCTGACTGTAATCCATGTAACGTTGATGATTGAGTGACAGATAACGGGTCTGTCGATTGTAGACAGATGCAATCCAGCACTTTTCACGAGCATCTTTACTACCACCCTTCCCACCCCCAATTTTTAAATCTATACGTTTTTACAACACCGTTTCCTTGGTGAGGTTTTATTCTCAGTTGTCTCATCAGCTTCTCCTTGCTCGGGGAGGTAGGCAGGAACGGCACCTCCTAGTGCCAAGAGCAGAATTTACTTGCAAGTTTCCACGCCGCACAGCACCAGCGTAGCTTGCGTGAGGCAGAAGCAGCTAAGTGGGAACACAGGAGCCCCTGGGTGGCCTCGATGGGAGGGGGTTTCCCTTCTCAGAGGTGCAGGGGGCCAGATGGCACAGCTGTGAGTCAGTGACTGAGAAGAATGCGATGCAAATCAGCCCGTACTGAGCAAGCAGCGTGAGAGGGACCCAGCTGAGTTCAGCCCATTTGCCTGCAGAAAGCCCCAGCAGGAGCGAATGGGTCCCTGATGGGACAGCCCCTTGCATGCACCCTTGTAATGCTTGGGATTCCTCTCCCGTCGGGCGTGTCGTGTTGGAACGGCGCGGAGTGGGAGGGTTTCCTGGGCCTGCTTGCAGGCTCAGGGCCTTGGCAGGAAAGGTGCCTGCAGAGTCAGTCTGGGCACAAAGCCGGGTGAGATATGCCTCTCTGCCTTAAGGGAGGGGTGTGATTTTGCTGCGGCCAGCAGTACCTGCCAGGGGCAGAAGATGGCCCCCATCCTTTCAGCGTGTGGCCTGCACCTCCACGCCAGCAGGATGGGGGCACAGCGATGGCTATCTCCAGTCTCCTGCCCACCTGCCGGTGCCAGTGGGATTCTGCGGCTCTCAGCACCCATACCGCTCGGCCACTGGGCGTGTTGACTGCGAGCGCCCTCAGCTGAGCGTGATTCAGCAGGGTGCTTGGGCAGTGCCTGACTCTCAGCACATGACCAATAGTCTTATCTGTGACCAGTGACCTCCGCAAAGAATCCCCTTTCCGATCAGAACACCTGGGTCCTCTTCTAGCTCAGGGGACCCCATAGCAGACCCCCCATGCTGCTTACTACTTGTGACAGGCCTGATCCCGCAGGCATTACTCTGGCAGAACTCCTCTGATGTGGGGAGAGACCCCCCTGCTGCCTTTCAGCCCATGCCGAGAACCTCGATCTTCCCTGGACCATGCAGACCCTGCCCCACGGCCCTGTCCGAATCCAGCACTAGTACGGCATGGGGGGAACTCATGGGCTTCAGCTCCACCTCCTGGCAGTCTTGTCCAAACAGGGACTGGCGAGGGGGTGTGGTGTGGGTGGGGGTAGGTGCATCGTGAGGGTGGGGTGGGAATGGGATGTCTGTAGGGTGGAAGGAGGGCGATGCGGGTGCTCAGGAGAAGGGAGGGCAGAGAACTGGACAGGGCCCTGCCCCTGTAACTTTGCACTGGACCCTGCAGAAGCTGCCACCATCCCTGCAGCATGGGGAGCTATGTATTCTCCTCTTGCGCCCCGGATGTCTCCCGCCGTGGGTGCATCTCCGCCAACGGCCTTTGCACCTTGGTCCGTTGCTTGCTGGCAAGAGCGGCCCTTGCTGTCCGTGGGGAGATGCTGCTGTTCTTCACCTAGAGTCTGGAGACCAGCTAACCTCTACCACCCCCCGGCATGGCGTGAAGAGCTCCAGGAACATGAGCATCAGTGGAGATCAGGGGAGGCTGCTTCTGCCTTGTAGCTGAACTTGAAGGTGCCCTCGATTGTTTTACGCCTCCTCCACCACCTCTCAGCTGTGTTGGGTGGGTCCATCCTGCAAAAACTGTGGTTAGTTTAAGGCGTGTTGCAACTTCCCCTTTTTTTTCTTCTGCTAGGTACAAGTGCCAGTTACCCTGCACGAGCAGCCCTCACTGCTACCTCTGCCCAGCGCAGGATCCAGGCTAGACAACAGAGCCTCCGGCCCCTTCCTGACAGGTGAGTCCAGCCAGAGCTTAATGGGGACAGGGGGTGGTGAGAGGTGGGGGGTTGTTCCTGATCCAGACCTTCCTTGGTTTTGAAAGCAGGTCAATCATTAATACCAGCATTGCAATGTGGCCAGGACTCCTGGGTTCTACTCTTGGCTCTGCCCCTGGCTCCCTGTGGGACCTCGGGCAATCCACAGACCCTTTCTGTTCCTCAGTTTCCCTGCCTGTCCAATGGGGGTGATGTGACTTATCTTTGTAAGGTGCTTTCAGATCCTCAGATGAAAGGGACAACGTCAGTGCTAAGCAGGGTGATCAGATAACAAGTGTGAAAAATCGGGACGGGGATGGGGGGGTAATAGGTGACTATATAAGAAAAACCCCAAATATTGGGACTGTCCCTATAAAATTGGGACATCTGGTCACCCTAGTGCTAAGTATTAATACAGGGTTTTCCAGCAGACTCTGGGCTCAGTCCTAGCCTGAGACCTGCAGATGCCCACAGCTAGTGGCGCCTTCAAAGGGCTCTGCACCTCCATGTGTCTGTGTGCAAAGAAGCATGTTGTGCCAAGCACCCCTGGAAGCGAGCTAATGTATCGGAGACCGGAGGGCTGGGCCGGAGACTGGAGGGCCTCTCCTTGATGGATGCAAGGAGGGTGTCTGGGCACTGGTGGCCGAGGGAGGCTGGAGATTAGGGAACAAGCTCTCCATGCAAGGCCAAGCGTTGGGAATACTTTCACAGAAACGCTGAGATCCCAAAGTAGAGGCCTTTGTGTAGGCGCAGGAATGGCAGTGCTCCCTTGCCCCCTTGGCTAAGGAGCTTTCACTCAGCCCGGAGTGACCCCATCCAATCAGTTAGCTAGAGTCACCATCAAGCCAGCTGTAGAAACAGAAAAGCCGGGCTATTGCTACATTCATGTTCCATCCGCCCGTGGTCCCATTTACCAATGAACCAGCGGAGATTAACCCAGCCCTTACTGCTGAGAAATGATTTCAGCTGAACTGGGCAGCGGTGATGCTTTCACTCACAACAGGAAACCGTCCTGAACAACAGGAAACCATCACTATCATGCCCACACAACTGTGCGCATTTCAAAACATCTCATGTTTACTCTCTTGCAGAATCCCGGGCTGCTGGACGGAGGTGCCAGCTCTGACCTCTGCTCCATTGGCTGGACGCGGGGCCGTCTCCTGTCCTATGTTTGTGCTTTCCCTAGCTCTGGGCTTTGCTCTTCCTCAGGGCTTGCCGGTTCCTCAGAAGATGCCTGCTCCAGGGCTAAGCCGTTCAGTAGATCCCTCTCTCCCTTCTCTCCTAACTGACATCCCCGAGGCCAGGGTTAGCCTGCTGTATAGCGTGGACTCATGTCTGCAGCTGGCAGCCAGGCAGAACATCAACCTCATCCTGCAGCACTACAATTACACGGGGAAGCTGGGCAGGCGGCGGCCCCAGGAGGACAAGATGGGCCTCCTCAAGGTGGCCTTCATCACCATTAGCTGCCTCATTGTGGTGGAGAACCTGCTGGTGCTGATAGCCATCGTGAGGAGCCTGCATGCCCGCCGGTGGGTCTACTCCTGCATCGCCAGC